GATTGTCCCCATGTACATCTCCGAGCTGTCTGTGCCTGACATTCGCGGCACGCTCGTCGTCTTGCAGCAGCTCAGCATTACCCTCGGAATTCTCGTCAGCTACTGGCTCGAGTACGGTACCCAGTACATTGGCGGGACCCGATGTGCTCCCGACATCCCCTACACCGGCGGCACCTCAGAGCTGCCCACGTTCGACCCCCGAAATGATGTCGGACCTGACGGATGCACTGGTCAATCCTCTGCCTCATGGAGGGTTCCTTTTGGGCTCCAGATCTTTCCAGCACTGGTTCTGGGTCTCGGCATGGTCTTCTTCCCAGAGTCCCCGCGGTTTTATCTCATGCGTCACAAGGAAGACAAAGCCCTCGCAGCGCTGGCCAAAGTACGCGGCTTGCATCCCGATACCGAGTCTCTTCGCGCCGAATACCTTGGAATCAAGGCCGAGGTCCTCTTTGACGAGTCACTGAACCGTGAGAGGTACCCCGGCAAAAAGGGCCTCTCACTCTTCATCGCACAACACCAAGCTCTGGTATCGTCATGGCCGGCATTTAGACGTCTAGGGTTAGGGTCAGGAATCATGTTTTTTCAACAATTCATTGGTTGCAATGCCGTGATCTATTACGCCCCTACGATGTTTGCCCAGCTTGGCCTCTCTGGAAAGACATCTGGGTTGTTGGCAACGGGGGTGTACGGCATCGTGAACACGCTCTCAACTTTGCCCGCCCTCTTCCTCATCGACAAAGTGGGTCGCCGCCCTCTTCTCATGTGTGGGGCCGCTGGTACCTTCATTTCACTTGTCATTGTGGGCGGAATCATTGGCGGGTTCGGCGAGTCCCTTCGCACGAACAAGTCGGCAGGCTGGGCCGGCATTGCCTTCATCTACATCTACGATATCAACTTCTCTTACTCGTTTGCACCCATCGGCTGGGTCTTGCCTTCTGAGATCTTCAACCTTGGCAACAGATCGAAAGCTATGTCTATTACCACGAGCGCCACTTGGATGTGCAACTTCATTATTGGACTTGTCACCCCGGACATGCTCGAAAAAATTGGTTACGGTACCTACCTGTTCTTCGCCGCTTTCGCTCTCATCGCCTTCGTAATGACATACTTCTTCGTCCCCGAGACACGTGGAAAGAGCTTGGAAGAAATGGACTTGGTGTTCGGCGACACAGCGGCACACGAGGAGAAGACTCGGCTGCTCGAAATTGCAGCTTCCATGGGACTGACAGACGTGTTGTCGGATGAGAAGCTCGGCACAGACGTCAAGCACGAAGGTTGAGAGATGTACGTAATCTCACCTTGAAGAAAGGTCAATACTCCAGCTGGGCATATGTGATGTTCAGTTATCACAATATGCTTATATACCCAGAAGCAGTCGTGGCAACAATCCAACCCCACGACTTACACAAGCCATCGCTATAACTAGTAATTTTGCTTTAATCAATATCAGGTGGCATATACCAGCAAACTGCTATACTTACCTATACAAAAGCCTTTCTGTTTAGTTATCTCCCCTGAGTGCATGTCGTTACAGGTTCGCATGGAGTTGTTGACGACCATCACTGAGACACTCGGCAACCTGGCGGGCCGCGTTCTTTCCCTGCTCAATAGCACCATCAATAAACCCCCTCCAACCATCCGCACTATCTGAACTGGCAAAGAAGACTCTCCCATGCGGCCTCTGAAGCTCTCGCAGATATCTGCTCATCGCATCGCCCTTCCAACAGCTCCACTGGCCACCAGCCATGGGGTCGTTCGACCAGTCGTGGCTGAGGTACGCAGTGATCTCCGCATCCGGTTTCACCGCGTGCCTGAACTCGTCCATCACCCTCGCGTGGTCCTGGAGGTTGGGGTAGACTCCGCTGCGGAGCGCGGCCAGGCAGTAGGTCCCGTCGGGCCCCGTCCTCTTCGTGCCGTTGTGGTCGGAAAACGCCAGCAGGTACGGGGTCGATCTGTCGGGCGCGGTTGTGGCAAACCAGCCGGGCTCGATCTTGGAAAGCCGGAAGTGGACCTTGGCTCCCTTGTTCTGGTGGCCGCAGTCGACGGCCTCGCGCCGCAGAGGGCTCAGGGGAGGATCGAACGCGACTCGGCTCAGGCAGTTGCTTGCGAAAAGAGATTAGCCCAGCCTGACGTAGACTGAGGCAATGGCATGCTGCTGCTGACTTACAGAGGAATCGTCGATACGACAAAGCCGGCGCTGAATACTCGGCCCTCTTCGGTGGTGATTCGCACAGCCGTGCTTGTCTGCTCGATCGCGGTGACGACTTGCCCAAATAAGAGGTCGCCCGTGAACTCTCCCCGGATCGCTTTAGCAAAAGACGTCATGCCCCCGTTGCCGAGCTTGAAGAGACCGCTGAGGTCGTACGCTCCCGCCATCGAATGTCCCCCTAAAGCGTACCACCGGAGGACCTCCGTGAAGGAGGTATCTGCGGCATAGTTGCACCCGAACAAGTTCACGAGCGAACTGAAATAGTCCCTCTCCATTTCCGTGATGTCGAGCTGGTCGAGCCGGTCCTGCACGGTCAAACCATCGTATTGCTTCCAAGGTGCGGGCTCCCGGAAGGGCTCATGTGGGAAGGGCATCAGGCTTTGGCTCGTGTTGCCGTCAACACCGAAGAAGAGGGCAGCCACCCTCTCGGCCGTGGCCCAGTTCATCTCAGACGTCAATTGCTTGACCGTGTCATTTCGAGGCTTGAAGAATGCCTTCGCGTCGGAACAAGCCCCCGCAGAAGCCTTGAGGTTGCGATGAAGTCCGTACCGATGGAGTTCGTTGTAGACGTGCGGTTGGCACCTAAACTGCCTCAGTCGCTTCGCTTCCATAAATCCGCAAAAGAAAAAGGGGGTATGCCGATGCTAGTCACGTACCAGTGCACCCAGGTGCCGCCCATCTCAAACTCCTCGCCGAGGACGGATGCGGTCCAGGTTCGTCCGCCGATCCTGTCGCGCCCCTCGAGTAGCAACACGTTCATGCCTGGCTGCTTCGACAGATCACGGGCTGCGATGAGGCCCGCAAAGCCTCCGCCAATGACGACGACGTCATAAGATTGCTTGGTGTGACGAGAACTCGGCAGCACGGCTGCTGTCGGTAGTCCTTCAGTCGTGCCGTCAGGGGTCCAAAGATAACCCTCCTTGGACCGTGACATGGCGGGAAACGACATCATGTAGTTATATCGGGTACAGTTACATGGAAAATGTGTGAAATAGACACGATTCATGGCAGTGAAAGCAACTTGGTTGGCAACGTATTTAAACGCTTATGGAGTACAACGACGTCAACAGACAGCTCGCCAGCCCGTTCTTCTAGACATGTTGTGAGAAGTAGTTGCCCATCTTGGAAAATGTTGCCGGCACCTGGTTTCTTCCTCTCAAGCTACCGGAAGTCGGTGGATCGTTCTCAACTCTTAATCATTCCATGGAAAGTAGAGCGGCATGGCAGGCGGCGTTCCGAAACTCGACGGAATGCCTCTCACCTTGGACTCATTGCCGACGAGGCTCGAAAGCGCCGATCCACCATTGTACAACTTAGGATTATGGACTAATCAAAGAACATTAGCAAATTTGCAATGTAAGGAAGAGTATTCGTGATGATAAGGAAATAGCGATGTGTGTTTGGCTGGGCTGCGGAAAAATATGCGGAAATGGTCTATTCAAGTAAGAAATACCCGACTGGAACGGATTCCAACCCCTGGATCGGTTGGTCATCCACCAGCAGCCAACATGCTCACCTCGATGCATTGCGCAGGGACTAGACGAGATACTTTCGGAGACGGAATCTCAACCGGAACTCGACCGGAAGCCGGAGACTCTCGTACGTGAAAAACTACAGTATCAGGAAGGTATTCACTTCACTCCTCGATGCCGGCGATAAGGCACCTCCCATGTCTTCCTCGTCGAAGACTAGGGTAACAGCAGCACCCGGTAGTACTCCTCCTCTTGTCAATAAGCTCTCAGTCACGAATATCGCTTAGTCAAGTTGAAAATACTATTGTTTGTCGACAAAGGAAGAGAGGAAGGAACTAGAGATGCCATTTAATCACATGGCAAACGTTCCTGTCTCGCAATTGTTACCAACCTTCGCCTTCTCTATAGTGTCCCTCTATCCACCTAGAGCTACTGTGAGAACTTACAAGCATCATCAAACAAACATCGAAATGCCCGATCGCGCACCACATCTCAACGCCGCGGCGGTACAATTCTCAAGTCCGCCGGGAGCACTCTCCACCGTCGGGGCCGAGCTGGGAATCTCCCAGGCGGTCTGTCTGCCCGCCAACGCGTCGATTGTGATCACATCCGGCCAGTGTGGTTTCCGCGACGATCTCTCAATCTCGCCCCGCCTTGATGAGCAGATTGAAATGACACTCCTTAACGCTCAAAAGGCGCTGCGAGCCGCTGGAGTCGACAACGGTCTGACGTCCGTATACCAGATCACGCTCTACGCCCTTCAGATTGATGACGAACTGGTTCGGATATGGAGAGAGATGAAGAGGAAGTATATGGGCTCCCACGCGCCGGTGGAAACAGGTGTCACCGTTCCAGCGTTATATGGAGGGGCGAAGGTGGAAATGACTTTCTATGCCGTGGGAGGTCGAGGGTCTGGTCCAAGCCAAAGGCTGTAAGTTTACTTCGCAGAAAGTGAGTACCGCTAGTTATTAAATGATTGAATTAGCGGCGGAGAACTGAAGCATTTCGTGAGTCCTTAATATCTTTCAAGCCTCCGCATGAATATATGGGAAAGAAACTATTAGGCGCTGAATTCGGATGATGTAGGGCACGGCAGTGCATTTGAAATGTAGTATGATGTCCTTTGAGCAGTGTAGCTCCGAAAAAAAGAAGTGAAACACATCCGATACGGATGTGACATATAAAATTTTAAGCAGGTATCTTATGCGAGCTGCCCTGGTGGTAGCCGCTGCCTTTCCTTGTCATCCCTCATTACCTGAACAGTGTTGGTTGATTTTGTCTGTGCGAAGAACGAAGTCTCTTACAATGTTTAGTTCTACCTATACTCTATCACTATGTCCTGGAATTTGGCCATTCAAAGGTGTCAAGATGATCGGGAGACGGAACTGTTTTCTTCCCTTCAACGTGTAGTACAATACCCCGAAGACTGACCACCCGACCATGACCCCAGTTGAGTAGTTCATCGTTTCCCAGCTGACAGGTATTTGGCTAGGGAACGCGCTGAAAGCAATTGATAGCACCATGAACGCAATGGCAATCACGTTGAGAATGGGCCCAACACAGCCGCGCAATCTGAAAGGCCCGTACTCGGAAACGCTCAACTTCCTGCGGCCATTGAGAAGCATTCCGACGATAGGAAGAGCATATGATGTGTATGTACCGATGATGGCCATGGAAAGCACGGCATTGAAGGCGGTAGTGTTGCCCAAGTAGATGAACCCAATGAGCATTTGCAATACCAATATAACATAGATCGCATTTGCTGGAATCTGGGTCCGCTGGTCCACCCGTCCGATGAGTTTCGAGTAAGGCACGGCCTCATCGCGAGCGAAAGCCCATAATGTTCTCGATGTTGATGTCAACGCAGCGCAGCAAGCGGCTCCGGCTAGAACAATGAGCAGTAGCGACATCGTCGTCGCGCCTGCCGCGGACTGAGTCGCGTCCAGGTAAATCTGCATCACCGGAAAACCAAGAGGTGTGGCGAGAACACCCTCCAGTCTGCTCGTGGAGAAAAGGAGTATGATGGCATACGCAAGCCCCATGAGCCCATTGAGTACGATGCTTCCAATCATCGCAAGCGGCACGTTGCGGGCAGCGTCGGGCAATTCCTCAGCAAGATGGCAAGCAGCGTCGTATCCGAGGAATGGGTATACCGTGCTGATCAAGCCGACCAGCCAGGCAACGCCGTCGCTCGACCAGCCGGTTTCGTTGTAGACCTCGGTGAAGACGAATGAAGCGCTGTTCTTGTCGGACATGACTGAAAGGACGACAAGAATGGCCACAAAGCCGACAACATGCAGTACGCCTATTCCACAAAGCCAGATGTTAGAGTGTTGGATGGATGTCTAAGTAAGTCATGAAACCGTCGACTTGCCTGAGATGAGGTTGGCAGTAGGCAGAAGCTTGCTGCCCCACAGATTCATGGCTGTTCCGTAGAACAGAAATGCCCAGTATAGTAGAAGAGCCTGCCATCGGGTAGGTCTGTAACTTTGGGAGTTCATGGTGATGAGTGCCTGGGTCATCAGCCCACAAGCAAACGCGATGGACGCTGTTAGAACAATCTGTCCTCCGATGGTGATCCAGCCGGTCATCCAGGCTATTGAATTTCTCCCTCGCACCGGATATAATGCGGTTACCCAATGGTACTGTCCTGCGGTGAAGGTCAGGGGGTACTGCTTCTGCGATTGTTCATCTGTAATTCGGAACTCACCACCGGCGGTAGGATAGATGGATGCGATTTCACCGAGAGATAACCCAATTGCAATAGTACATAGAAAGGTGAAGATGCTAGAAGCGATATCAGCGTAAGATGAACCAGCGTGATAGGATGAAAGGCATACTAATTGTACAGAAGGCATGGTGCCCCTCCACTTGTCAACGCCTGAGCGATGACACTGGAACATCCCTCCCAAGTGCCCATCAAGCACAAACAAAGAGCTATCAGCGAGGGGAGGGAGAACGCGCGATTCAGTTGGCTTTCGAGCCCCAGCTGGCCTAGACGTTCGTCATCAATATTGGTAGCCTTCTCTGGTGCCCTGGGCGAGGTTGCCCGGACGAGACTGTCCCCATCATGTCGTTTATCTGCCGTCATCTGGACTGAAAACCACAGCAACAAGAATTGGCTGCCAAAGAATATCTGCGGAGACAGATACTTGCTAAAGCTTAGTGATCCATTCAAGCTTTAAATAGAAATGCGTGTCTTTAGAGGGCGATTGACTTCAACACTCGTGTTATGTCTTATCCCTGCTTTTCTTGTGAAGTTTCATAGACATTAGTTCCTTTCCTGATCAGATCAACCTTAGTCCGGTGCAAGGTAAGACTCAGATAACGTTCCTCCTGAGCTCTGCTGTATGCCTTACTACATATTGATGCCTTCCTCTCCTGCTAAACTATCAGAAGTGATATTTGGACCTGCTTATCGCAGCAGGAAAGGAGGAATGACGATCGGGAGATGGCAGCTGGTTGTATTATCTTAGAACGGAAATAACACGCGATTGAAATGCTACATCAGTCAGACTAGTGTACATGCAATTCGCGGCAGCGGAATGAACCTGATATCATCGGAAAGACCCTCGGAAGGTGGGGCCATCTGCATCCTACCCCATGCATGAGTTTCCAATCGATGCAAATGCAGTTCCGTTGGTCGGATTGTCTGATGATGCTGCTGCTTTAGTAAATAGAGGGTGTATGCTTCTTCTGATGACCCAGCTACTCCAGGTATGTTGAACCATCAGATCACACACAATCATGCTACGCCTCAGAAGAATTTCACGGACAAGTCCCTCCAGCCGCAGGGTTCTGGCGAGCGAAGGTCGGCGATGTTTCGCAACAAACACAAATGTTCCGTTGATCATCGACGGCAGGGACATCGAAACCCAAACTCGATTTGATGTGACAAGCCCCTTGACTGGGACAAAGATCTGGTCGTACACTTGTGCTACGAAACAAAATGTCAGAGACGCAATTCGAAGTGCTCAGGATGCGTTTCCTTCTTGGTCTCAAACTAAGGCATCGCACCGTCGAGATATTTTTCTCAATGCTGCGAACATCATGGATAAAAGGAGGAATGAGCTGGGAGATTACATGCATCATGAGATTGGTGCTGGGCAAGATTATCAGGATTTCATTCTGGGCTTGGCCATCGAAGGATTCAAGGACACAGCCGGAAGAATTTCGGGAGCAGTCTCAGGCGTTCTACCAGAATCTAACCTCCAAGAAATGAAAGCCATGGTATGCAAAAGGCCGTATGGCGTTAATGTTGGAATCGCTCCATGGCAAGTCGATTTTGTTCGATGACTCCATCCCCTGCTGACTTGGCGGTCTCTAGGAACGCTCCATATCATTTGGGGTTGAGATCCGTTCTTTTTGCCTTGGCAACAGGAAACACAGCCATTTTGAAGGGGGCAGAACTGTCGCCTAGATGTTACTGGGCTATTGCCGACGTCTTTCGCGAGGCTGGTCTCCCTGAGGGGTGCTTGAATCTCATATTTCACGCACCCTCGGATGCGCCAGCTATTATTGACGAACTAGTCAGTCATCCGGATGTCAAGAAAGTCAACTTCACAGGAAGTAGTCAAGTTGGAAGCATCATTGCGGAGATGGCTGGCAGACATCTCAAGCCTGTCTTAATGGAGCTCGGAGGCAAAGCGAGTGCCATCGTGTTGCCAGATGCAGACCTTGACAACGCTGCGCTACATTGCGCAAAAGGTGCCTTCATGAATGTGAGTACTCAATACCTCACGTAAATCGTGAATTGGTCACTAAGAGGTGGCAAACTTAGGCGGGTCAAATTTGCATGTCAACTGAGCGTATTATTGTTCACGAGTCCATAGCGGAGGACTTCCATAAGGCGCTCGTTGTTGCAACCAGAGATCATTTCGGATATAAAGACTCGACTCCTGTGCTCGTCACAGCGGCGTCGGCGCGTCGAAACCGGGATCTTGTTGCGGATGCGATGTCGAAGGGGGCAACCTCCATGACGCCGAAAGAGCAGCTCGGCGGACTGCCCGAAACTCGAATGGCGCCGATGTTGCTGAAAGATGTAAACAAGGAAATGACATTATATCAGACGGAATCATTCGGTCCTTGTGTGTCACTTTTTACCTTCAAGTCCGAAGACGAGGCAGTGAGCCTTGCCAACGACACAAAGTACGGCCTCAGTGCGTCCGTCTTCACCAGAGACCTTGGAGCGGCATTTCGCATTGGAGAGTCCCTCGAGTCTGGTGCGGTTCACATCAACTCAATGACCGTTCATGATGAGTATTCGTTACCTCATGGCGGAGTCAAGCAGAGTGGCTTTGGTCGCTTCAACGGATATCAAGGGCTGGATGAGTTTATGTACTACAAAACTATCACTTGGATGGAGTGATCAGTCTCACGCTGTCTATCACGAAAGACATCCTCTTACTGCTAATTAGCGTTTGGAGTCAAGACAAAGCAGAACTGGTCTCTGCGTATATTGTATAAGACTTTAGTGCGAAATATACGTATGTAGGCTTTTACCGCTTTCCTTTTCTATGAGGCAATGAGTTGCCCGCGTACAAGGGCAGAGTTCGTTCAAGTTTGCACCGAAAAGAATGACTTCTGTATGGCTTGCCAACCCCATGGGTCAATAAGCAGCATGTATCCGAATACGCGTATGGCTTCAAATGCCGACATATACTCGTAAATTCCCGTGCCAATCACTTTTACCCCGCATTTTCATCTCCAGACTTACACCATAATCAAATATCGAGCAACTGTGAATGCGAAAGCGAACCGGTTTGGTGGCTGAGTGAGGCATCATTGCTTCTCGGGGTAGACTATGACGAGACACAACCCACAGTCGACCTCTGAGAAGCGCACCAAGGCGGAGCCAGCTCTTCTCATTGTACGGCATGATGAATGTAACCTTGAGCTTTGGTCAATGAAAGCAGCTAGCTGTACGCGGATATTCTTCCTGGCTTTTCAATCCACGGTCAAAAATGGCCGTCTGGAACATGGAGAGAAGAGAAGAATTGCATCATGCGAGGGAAAGACTCAGTAAAACCTCCCAAGTATAAGTGTTCGCCATCTGCAATCCCACAAAAATGATTTCTTGAAACAAAAGCCTCTTCACCTATCACCTCGTCGGCAATATTTCGCCGTGATATCGTTGAAATGAGGCCTCATCTCTTCAGCTGGCTTGCTCTCTTGCTGCTCCCCTGGGCCCAAGCCCTGATCACCCGAGCAAACACCACGGCCCCAAGTCAAGATGTAGTGACATGGGACAACCACTCCCTATTCATCAATGGCGAAAGAATCATCATCATGTCTGGGGAGTTCCATCCTTGGCGCCTCCCCTCTCCAGGCCTATGGCTCGACGTCTTCCAAAAAATCAAAGCTCTGGGTTACAATGGAGTTTCTTTCTATGTCAACTGGGCCCTGGTCGAAGGTCATCCTGGAGAGGTTCTCATGGATGAAATCTTTGACCTCCAGCCCTTCATAGACGCCGCCGTCGAAGCGGGGCTCTATCTCATTGCTAGGCCCGGGCCATATGTCAACTCGGAGCTGTCTGGCGGCGGATTCCCTGGCTGGCTCCAACGAAACAAGGGCGAGTTGAGATCCATGGCGCCTGACTATCTTAACGCTACTTCTACCTATGTTTCCAATGTTTTGGAAGTCATTTCCGCAGCCCAGATCACGAAAGGGGGCCCTGTCATATTGGTCCAGCCCGAGAACGAGTACAGCTTGGCAAACATACCGAACATCGCCGAGTCTTATAAAGTTCTCGACCCAAAGTATATGGAATTCATGAAGAAGCAGTTCCGGGAAAATGGTATTGAACTACCCCTGATCAGTAACGACGCCTTCCCTTTGGGAAACTGGGCACCCGGATCTGGCGAGGGGGAATTGGATATCTATGCTCACGACACATACCCCCTTTACGGCGGATGTGAGTCTGCCAATGTGCGAGATACTAGACTACAAAGCTGACTTACTTCCCAGGTGGTGACCCAGCGAACTGGACATCTCTGACCCCATTAAGTCTTACATACACCTACCAGAACCATCTCCAACAAAGCCCGAGTAGCCCGTACTCGATATTGGAGTACCAAGGCGGCGCACCCGACCCTTGGTAGGTCCAACTCATCGCTGCCATTTTACAATCGGTAGCACTGCTAAACAGACACAGGGGTGGCGTTGGACTCGAAAATTGTGCAGCGCAGATTAACCAAGACTTCGCCCGTGTCTTCCTCAAAGACCTCATTGGTCGATCCATAAAGATCCTCAACCTCTACATGGTAAGTAATTAACCTTAGTCCATTGCCTTCAGAATGGATCTGACAGACCAAATAGACATTCGGCGGTACAAACTGGGGCAATATGGGCCACCCAGAGGGATACACCTCCTATGACCATGGCGCCTCTATCCGCGAGAACCGCGGCATCGATCGCGAAAAGTACAGCGAGGCGAAGCTCCAGGCACATTGGCTGCATGTATCCAAGGCCTACTTGACTTCCGTACCCGAAAACGCTACGACGACGGAATTTGTCAGCACCCCTGAATTACAAGTCGTCCCAGTGTCAAGCAACGACACGCGATTCTATGTGCTCCGTCATGTTCAGTACGACACGTTCGAGAGGACGGGTTACAAGCTCACTGTGCCCACGACTTACGGCAATGTGACGATTCCAATGTTGGGCGGTGAGCTGTCCCTCCACGGGCGCGACTCAAAGATCCACGTCACGGATTACGACGTCGGTGGCGTCAATCTGGTTTACTCTTCTGGTGAGATCTTTACGTGGAAGAAGTATCAAGATAAGAGACTGCTGATTCTATACGGTGGAGACGGCGAAGAACATGAGTTTGCCGTACCGTCGTCGTTGGGTGAGCCAACATTCGAGGACGGGGTCAATGTGACAAGCTGCGAGATTGACCGACTGCGTCTTGTTCACTGGAAAGTCCAGGAATCTCGGCAAGTTGTACACTTTGAGGGTCTAGAGGTTCATCTTCTTTGGAGAAACGACGCTTACAAGCACTGGGTTGTTGATCTCCCCGACCTGGCGACGGGGGTCGTCTCGCCAAGGGAGGGTGAAGCTTCTGTCATCGTCAGAGGACCATATCTCGTGCGCAACGCAACGTTCTCCAACAACACTCTGCATCTGACTGGAGACCTTAACGAGACCACGACGCTGGAGGTCCTCGGCGGCGTACCCGAGAACGCCTGTCTTACCTTCAACGGCCAGACCCTTGTGCCTCTTCGAGGACCTGGTGGACGCATTGAGGCCGACATCTCCTTTCACACACCAGACCTCGCACTCCCGGACCTTCATTCCCTGAAATGGCATTCCATCAACTCTCTCCCTGAGATCCAACCCGACTATGATGATTCCGCCTGGACACCAGCATCCCTGACCGAGTCCAACAACCCACGAAATCTCACAACCCCAACGTCTCTCTACTGCAGTGACTATGGCTACCACGGCGGCTCCCTCATATACCGCGGTCACTTCATCGCTTCCGGCGCCGAGTCCCTCTTCAACATCACCACCTCCGGCGGGCAAGCATATGGACATTCGGTCTGGCTCGACAGCACCTTTCTCGGCTCGTTCAAAGGGGACCCTCACGTATCCAACTTTACCCAAGCATTCCAACTTCAACCCCTCGATGCAGGAAGCGATCACACCTTGACTGTGGTGATTGACCACATGGGTATGCCGATGAACTTCTACGTTCACTCTGAGGCGATGAAAACGCCTCGCGGGATCCTCGACTACTCTCTCGCCGGACACCAGCAGTCTGACATCAAATGGAAGTTGACCGGAAACTTCGGAGGCGAGGAGTACGTTGACAAGACGCGAGGGCCCCTGAATGAGGGAGCGATATATGCGGAGCGGCAGGGGTACCATCTTCCCGGCGCACCGTCGTCGAACTGGACGTTCGCGTCCCCCTTGGAGGGTATCACGAGCGCGGGCATCCAATTCTATACGACAACATTTGACTTGGACATGCCGGCTGGGTACGATATTCCGCTTAGCTTTGTGTTTGAGAACGTAACGAACGAGGGGAAGCCGGCGATCTTCCGAGCGCAGCTCTTTGTGAACGGGTATCAATTTGGTGAATACGGTGAGATCATGGATTTTACAACATCCGCATCTTCTGGGAATCTGGGATAACTAACTTGATGTGTAGTCAACCATCTCGGCCCGCAGACCCGCTTTCCCGTTCCTGAGGGGATATTGAACTACAATGGCGTGAACACGGTTGCAATTACTTTGTGGGCATTTGAAGCGACGGGAGCTCGCCTTCAGGGCTTCCAAATCTCAGCGGACCATGTCATTCAGTCGGGCTATCGGAAGCCGGGCCAGACGAAACAGCCCGGCTGGGAGACGAGACCTGGGGCTTATTGATGACCAGGTCCGGGCGCGGGGTCTTCAAGAACAATCTTCGGGACAATGGACGTCGTTATTTTGATTCTTGTATTTATTAAAACAGAGGTGATTCTTCTTCATCAGATCGGATCCTAATTGTTGTACATTATCTGGCCGCGAACCCACCTTCTTTTGGGCGGTCGCTGACGCAGGTCTCTTGTCTTCTCGTCTATAACCCTTTTGTCGTTGAAGTCTTTGCCGCAACCGACCTTTTTTTTTTCAGTCTCAACCCCAGACTCCTCGTCTATCCATCAAACGCCGTGCCTCGTCAAGGCTCTTTGTATGTAGTTTAGTGTTATTTATTTAAGCATGTTGTCGAAAGCAGGGATAAGGGTCTGCGCCAGCCAGAAGGAGAAGACCAGCTTGGGACCAGTCATGAGAAGCTAGAGAGGCAAGTCATTAGCTGATGCACCACGTCAGGCATGAACGGAGTTTCTGTTTACCTTGGGGACCAATCCCTTGAAGAAGGCGGTAGCACCCTCGTTCTTCATCATGTTAGAGATGATCCTGAAGCCGGTCTCGGGGTTCTCGAAGTTGCGGTTCTGGATACGGGTCTTGATGACATCGAGGGGAGCGGAGACGAGGAGAGATGCGGAGGCACCGGCGATGGAGGCGATGAAGTTCTGGAACCACGAGGCCTTGTTGTAGTCGCTCAGGCCGAACATGTACTCCTTGGTGAAGGCGGAACCACCGAACAGCTGTTGTTGAAATTAGCCATGTGCCTTGACCATGCTATATTTGTGTTGTACATACCGCGAAGGAGCCAGGAGCGTTACGGGCGGCAGTCCAGCCCCATCCTCTGTACAGGCCGAAGCCCTCGTCGGCGACGATCTTGAGGACACCACGGCCGCGGAAGGCCTCGGGGTTGGTCTGTCTCTTGATCTTCAGGACGTCCAAGGGAAGGAGGACGATCTCTCCAATTCCGATCAAACTGTTGCCGTCGGCCGTCAGTCGCCAAACTTAAATTGCGCAATGGTGGGGTATCTGTCGACTCACCTGCCAGCGGTGGAGTGCATGATGGCCTTGCCAGTCTTCTTGCCGAAGGCATTCTCAAAGTCCTTTCCGTAGTGCTGGTTCAGGAAGTCCCTGGCGACGGGCTGACCGCCGTACTTGTATATTCTTTGCAGAACCTTGTAGCCGGCGGCGTAACCCAGACCAGGGAAAAGCGACACGAACTTGCGACCGAGCGGGGCAGAGGCCTTGTCCTTGAAGATGACGGCGTTGAGCTGATCCATACCGGAAACCTTGAGGTGGATACTTGTGTCAGCTTTGCGGCCTCAACGTCCAGTTCGGGGACCCTTCGTTGTGCTGGTGTACCTTGGTCTGGTTGCTCATCAAGCGCTTCGCAATGGTGTCGACCTAGAGCTCCATGTTAGTTCCCCATCCATCATGATTTCTGTTTGGTGAAGAGAAACTTACGGGGTGGAAGACAGCCAATTCGGCAATACCAGCGGAACCTGTGAGAATCGTTTCGTCAGCGCGGCCGAGCTTTCACCTGTGTCGCAGACACGGGCGCAAAGGGCAAAAACAGTGCTCGTACCGGAACCCAGGAGTCGCGCGGTGTTCGACTCCTTCTCCTTTCCTCCGGCCATAGGGGGAGACATCTTAAATTTATATAAACAAAAAAGGTTATCGAAAGAGTCAAGATATCCTTAGTTGGAGATGTTCAGGCTCCGGAGGTTTGTCGTCGATTGGCACGGCGCTCGAGAGGAGGAGAGGATGGGTCGCGGGGAGCAAGACAAGTTTTCGACGACTGCTGGGAAATTTTTACTCACAGGTCACCACACTGCCCGAACTCGCAGCTTAATTTTTGGCCCTGCAAGGACAGGGACCCCTGTTCGCCGAGCGCCGGGAAGTGGAGACGGGACTAGCACGCCAGCTCTCGGTACCGCACCTAGCTCCGACCGACCCCGTCGTTGCGACGCCGACTTTCGTCACAACTGGGAATGCCTCACTATTGCACTTCAGATAGATAGTCCAGAGCCGAAAATCTCCACTGGAACTAAATCGCGACCGCCAGAACGGCGATGCTTCGTCTTTGTTTCGGGGGTATCTATCGTCTTTTCCTTACTGTAACCCTGAATATACATGTACTGATGCAAATCCTCATCTAATAGTCTCTGAACACAGACACAAGGTCATCCAGTCTCATGACATGGCCGAGGAGCTTGCTCTGCAGGTCCAAGAAAGTGCTGTACTTGTTGTAGTGCTCCGCAGTCATGACCTCTTCCTCTTTACCCTTCACGTCCCGTCTTTCCACGAAAGACAGAATGTTACGCTCGCGGTATCGGTGCACCTCGAGATTTTGGAGGCATCGTAGCATCGTCTTGTAGTAATCGTCGACGAGCTGACTCTCAATCCTCTCAATATCAAAGAACCAGAAAAACATTGTTCTTGTCGCGGTCCTGCTGGCATCTTTGGGAACTTCCTGCACATCGACGAAACCAGCCATTTGCATCGCAAGCATTTTGCCCTGGACATCTTGCTTCTTCATGAGAGCAAGCGAAGGGAGCATCTTCTCGTCCAGCTTGCCCTTGTCACGGAGAATCCGTGTCAATCGAAGTCCATGCCTTCCGAATGACTGCTCAATAACAGCATCCACCTCCGTTTGTTTCAAACCTTCTATCAAAGGCTTGAAGTCCACCGTCCATTGTCCTCGGCCTTGACTACCGCAGTGACGCAAGAAGCCCTGTCTGCTTTCCGCCAACAGCAGTAGATGCTGCCGCATTTGATCAAGTCGGTTGCCGCCAGGGACATCTTCGAATTTGACCTTGGTTTCTCTAGAACCCTCGCCATCATCTTCAGTATCGCTGTCGGAACCGTCTCGCCTAGTACCGTTCGTCTGTCCACGAGCAGGAGCTCGCGCGGCTCTCGGGCTTTCGTCAAATGAATCATCCGAATCATACATCAGTGGGCCTGGTGCTGCTCTGATCTTTTCGGCGCTTCTAAAGTCGATCTGATCCTGGGTAGCCTTACCAACTCCCAGAGAAACATCAACGGAATCGTCGAGATTGTCGAGTATTTCGAGACTCGTAATAGTGACTTGTCGTGAGTTCGAGCCAGGGCCGTCACCCTCATTATCGGTGTCGATCCTTGGGTCGAGCTGACATCGAGACATTTGCTGTGTCAAGAGACGCAACGCAGTGTGGTAAACTTGGCCGGTGATTTCACCGAACGCATCGGCGGCGTACTGGGCGAGTCGCTGGTTTCGCAATTCAACTAGACACTTTTCGGTGTTGACTCTGAGAACAATATGCGGCTATTTCAGTCAGTAAGATGCAGACTGAACATCAATGGGACAACTGACCTCGAGCTCGGAGACATCGTCTTCGTACTCCGACGCCTCCCTCTTTCCCTTACCATTCGCGAGTCTCCTTCGCTTGGTCGGGAACATGCCTCCTCGGCCGATTTGGCGCTTCAGCTTCTTGCTCTCTTCCCGAGCTTCTCGAAGACGCTTCGAAACTTCAGTCTGCATCAACTCCTTGTTGCGCGCTGTTGTTCTCTCACCCGGGGGTGCTTTCGTAACTTCCTCCTCGATCTCCCGGTAAACGTCCTCCGGATTTCTGAACGTCTTCGGCCCGACCTGGTCCACAATCTCTGCTGCAACCAAGCGGTTCAAGATAGCGTGAATATCGACGTACGAATGCGAGTGGCCATTGGTCTTCGGCTTCGGTCCATCTCCATTGGCATGGCCGTTTGTGTACTCGCCATTTATGCTTGCCCCGTTTCTCGCCTCGAAAGCTTGCGCGAGATCCGATACCCTTGCGTGTCCTAGTTGCATGATCGTCTGTACTACCTCCTGCTCGGCGGGGCCATACTCGATCCCGACCATCTCGATGATCTTTCCCGTTCTGCAGAGGTTGTAACATCCATCGGGATTGGCTTCGTAGACGCCGTTCGTGTTGCTGGAATCGGATTGATGATATACAAGGCTCTGCTGCACAAGAACCGCAAGGCCGTGTCGCAGCTGACGTGGGTTCAATCCGGTGGATTGGACAAGGGTCGCGATGTTCGATCTGCCTTTGCTGAATAGGACGGCTAGAATTCGCTGGTGGAACAACACATGTCAGCACGATTTGCGACGCATTGCAATGGAGTGATGCGATTGATGCACTCGCAGCAAAAATCCATAGGGACATCCTTACCGCTGGCAGCTCACCGCATATATCGTTGACGAGGTGAGCGCAAAGCTCCGCGCCGTGTTTTGTCTTAAAAAGAGGTTAGAAACGGGATTATGGCGATGGGATGCAAGGACTTACCACCAGCATTGTGAATGCGGTTCGGTTCGATCGACTCTAGAGATTCTCTCACTATCCCTAGAGCTGCAATAGAGGCTACCTAGAAGGCATTGAAATAATGCAAGGCCGGTGCTGTGGTAGGAATAGCACTCGGCTGGAGAAATGCTGATATTGCTGTCGCAGAGTGTGTCGCGTCCGGGTGACAGAGGGACTGAATAGAGTATGGAACTTTTTTTTTCTGAGCGGCGGGCCACTCAAGGCGGGGTGGGGGACAAGGTCGAAGGAAAGCGCCGAGTCACCGACACAGTCATGGAGCTTGGTGGTGCCTGAGTCCCAATGGTGACTCTGATGTGGGTGTGAGTCGTGGCTAGAACTCAGGAACGGACAAGGTACTTTTGGTGCGGTGCCACACCTCGCGATGGAGGCTTATGTAAGACCCGATCTTCGTCTGCACCTAAGAAAAGAATTGCAGACGTCAATTGGCTTTGAGATGACGGGAGCTGTGTGGCTGCCCTCTGCTCACCAGCCTCATGCCGCGCAGGGTGCAGTGCTTACATAATGCAAATCTACAACGTCAAAAGCATAATAGTGGGGTCGGCGGAGGTAATCAGCCGCACGCTCATTGGCAGGTCGGGGAGAAGGCAAGTTTCAATCACGTGATTAGAAGAGTGACCCGTAGCTAACCTCGTTCGATGGATCGAAAATTGGTCGGGATTGTAACGAGGCACTTTCTGTTGAAGCTCCGACGAATTGAGCGTCACGCAAATCGGAACTGCCAATTCACGGCAACCCCATCACCGCAATGATTTCTAGACCGACTCTTGCGAGGTCTGCGCAGCAGGCTCTCCGCAACTCGAGCTGTGCTCGCACAATCTCGGGTCGCCGCTTCGCCAGCGCCTCTGCTGGTTCCGGCGCCTTCGAGACCTCCGATGCTGCTGGTCTCAAGGTCGCTGCCAGAGAGTCTCAGGGCCCTACTACCAAGCTGGCTATCGTAGCCAAGGCCGGTACCAGATACCAGCCTCTTCCCGGTCTGGCCGCTGGTCTTGAGTCCTTTGCCTTCAAGGTATGGATGTATTGGAAACCACCCTTCCAACCCGTCATTGGACTTGGCAATATAGACAAAATGCGCTGACATGCTTTCCGATCGACAGAACACACAAAAGCGCTCTGGACTGCGCATTATCCGCGAATCCGAACTCCTCGGCAGCCAATTGACCGCTTACCACACCCGCGAAGCCCTTGTCCTCGAGGCCAGCTTCTTCCGCGATGACCTTCCCTACTTCACGGAACTTCTCGCCGAGGTTGTCTCTGAGACCAAGTTCACCAGTGAGAATGGCCGATATACTTGGTAAATATGCGACGTGCCTTGGCTAATGGCTGTTCTAGCGCACGAGTTCCACGAGGAGGTCCAGCCCGTCCTTCGCCTGAAGCAGTCTGGTGTCAGCGCTGCCGCCCAGGCTCTCGACAACGCCCACTCCGTCGCTTTCCACTCCGGCCTCGGCTCTCCCTTCAACCTGACGCCCTCGATTCCCATTAAGCCCTACCTGAGCGAGACCGCCGTTGCCGACTTCGCTGATGCCGCCTACGCCAAGCCCAACATTGCCCTGGTCGCCGACGGTGCTTCCGCCGCCAACGTCTCCAAGTGGGCTCAGCAGTTCTTCAAGCAGGTCCCCGCCGCCTCCTCCGGAAAGCTTTCCCTGAACTCCGCTGCCACCAAGTACTTCGGTGGTGAGTCGCGTACCTACAGCGCCAACGGCAACGCTCTGGTCATCGCCTTCCCCGGTGCCGTCAACGGCCAGGCCTCCCCCGAGCTCGCCGTTCTCGCTGCTCTGCTCGGCGGCAAGTCCAACATCAAGTGGTCCCCTGGTTTCAGCTTGATCTCCAAGGCTCTCGGCCCCGCCCCGGGCGTCTCTACTTCGACCACCAACTTCTCCTACTCTGATGCTGGCCTCCTGGCCGTCCAGCTTTCCGGATCTGCCGCCGGCATCCGAAAGGCCGCTGAGGAGACCGTCAAGGCTCTCAAGACCATCTCCGAGGGCACCGTCAGCAAGGAGGACCTGACCAAGGCTATTGCCAAGGCTAAGTTCGAGGCTCTGGAGGCCACCGAGAAGCGCAGCGGCAGCATTCTGCTCGCCGGCTCTGGCCTCGTCCACAGCGGCAAGGCTATCGACGCTGCTGAGTCCGCCAAGTCCGTCGAGTCTGTTACGGCTGAGAAGCTCAAGGCGGTAAGCACACCCGCAGCCCAACTGATTATATGTATGACTTTGAGACTAACAAAACTCCTTAGGCGGCGAAGACGATTCTGGATGGCAAGGCTAGTGTTGCTGCGGTTGGTGATCTGTACGCTCTGCCGTACGCTGAGGAGCTTGGCCTTCGTGTGTAAGGGGCAAATTGGCCTGGCCTCGCAGTAGTCGAACGATCCGTGTATCAACAGTCAAGCATTTGCGGTAGATTGGGGAAATGTATCCTTTGTGAACATATGTAGTAGAATTTTCTTGTGTCTGCCTAGCTTGTCTGATTCCCCTATGCCATATCCCCCATTTAATGAGCTCGTCTGAAATTTCATCCGACTGATGCACTCTACGCGGTATGCGTCCTTGTCAGGAGCGTGATGGACAGTAAAGTATGTTGTTAACGATGGAATCCTTCATTTTTGAGTGAAATTGCAGATGGGATGATCCCACAGTGTGAAGTGGTGTTTATAGCGGGTGTGTCGATCTCGTTTGTTTCGCTCACGCATGGTTGACGTAATGTACGCGGGAGGCTCCTTCATGGATGGACCCCGAGTGCAGCAAAGCTGCCAAACCAGCGCCAAAGCATCCCAATGTCGAGCCGTAAGACATGGAATTGAACCGGCCGCGCTAGAATTGCAAATGGAAATTGTCTCCTCCCGAGCGAGGAGAATCGAGAGGGAGGAATGGGCACAGTCGCCCATCCAAAGCCATTTGGCGGGGGTTTATCTTGAGGTAGCACCGAAGATTGGACGGGTTGCAAGGTCATAATTGAGTTGGAGAGTCACTCCACGTACTTTGTATCAATTGCCCTGCCAAACACACCATACAGCAACGTGACCACGTTCGGTGTAGCTGCTGCATCGTACTCATGGCTCTGTTAAACGGCTGTCTGACAGGTTTCTGGCAGACTTTGGAGTTGGTACGGTTTGGTCAAAAGCCACGACGTCTCAGGGAGCGAGGGCAATAACACGGCAGTCAAGTCTTAACAGATTGTTGCTCGAAACACTGCTTTGACGTGAGGGGACGACACAGAGCACGGTCCCCCCAATTGGGGGTTGAAGTATGTTCTTAAGTCGTTGCAGGTGCAGACGTACCTAGATTGGCAGAGAGTGGAGGCCGCTCCCATCCTAAATGCGGCGAGGAAATAAGGGAAGGAAGGAAGGTTGAACTATTATTCGTACCTCCCTAGGTAAGAGGAGACATGGGAACACATCCCACAACTCTGATGCGCTTTTGATTAAGGTAGGCAACCAGCGTCACATACCTTACCTCACGGCGAAGAGGGAACCAACCCAACCTGCTGTGCTGTGGCACTGGTAAGGAGAGATGTCTCGTGCTTGGTAGATTGCCCTGGCTGCAGCGGATTGGCTCGCGGGCCCGTAAACGACCAAGGGGCCACTCATCTGTGACCATCCCCCGGGAGCACTATCCGTCCCACACCACCACGCCCGCGCCTTTTCCTTCGCTAGCCCCCGTCCCCGACCTGAAAGTGACAAGGCACAGGGTACACCGCACCTCATGGCACTTCCAAGGGCAGCAGATGTACCTTTCTCAAGTTCCCGCCCTCGGTATTTTACCTACGAGGCAAGTACCAGGGATCCAAAGTTAGCATATTGGGGGACTTTGAGGATGGGAGGCTCAGCAGGCGAGCACAGTGCACTGGAGCTGGTCACCTCCAGTGGGCACACCCGCACACACGCACACACACAGTCAGTACGGGTACCTTAGTGGACAGGACACAGCGGTGCCGTACCTTTACCCTCTCGCAGAACCCACTCCACCCGCCCGACCAGACGCCAGCACCGCACCAGGGAGTTGCGGTAGGGGACTGGCCGGACCGCACTGGGAAAACAAAGCCTCACCTCACCTCATCTCAACCTCCACACCCAATGCCAACTCCCTCCACGTCCTCGCCCTTTTTTCGCCCACGATCGACGCTGGTCTTCTGCGCCTGCTTCCTCCCCTAACCCTCCATTTCCAGTCGCCCAATTGCGATTTTGTTCGTGCAGTGTCTCTTTGTGCCTGGACGAAGATTTGGGGAAGCTTTCGTTTCTCTCCCCTACCCCTAAGGCCTTCGTGGAGCCTTTTTCCCAGCACACATTCGGAGAGACCTCGACCAGGTGAGACACACAGCCCATCCCATCCACTTCCTCCCATGATTCATTCCTCTCCTATTCCTCGAGCCCAACTTCGACATCTTCGCGACAGCCTCCCTTCTCTTCTTTCTCGCTTGTCGTACTATCGGGCCTGCTTCCCTTCATCCTACGCCGCTGTCGTCAACATCTCCAACCGCTCTTGAGCTGCGACTTCCAGCTACCTGTCCTTGATGGGACTTCCCCCGCTATTCCACCAGCGAAGCTAACCCGCTCAACCTGCTCCCAGTTCAATCTGCCGAGAGCTTCGAAGCCACTGGCAACCTCTCTGTCCGATTACACCGCCGATTTGCAAACCTCGGCAACTGTTTTCTTTCGAGCCCAACGAACCGAAGACCATCCAATTCCCGTCGCAAGGTGCGTGTTGCTGCGGAAATACCCGCCCACATCCCTCCTTCCGTGTATCGACACATATCCATCAGCTTCCAAAAGTCTACATCCTCCTCTAAGCCGCTGGATTTATCGTCGGATTATTCAAACAAAACTACAAGGAGCCGGGCTAACCCTACCTGCAGGGGACTGGAGGTCATTGGTAGTCAAGGTGGCACTGCCTTCGAAAGATCCCATTCTGTACTACCTCCACAGCCCGAGGCTGCAAGATGGTGCCCCCCAAGAAGCTGCAAAGTGAAATCGGGAACAACGG